TTTTTTGAATTAGTTATTATTATTATTATTTTATATAAATAATTATGCAAGCATCATTCAAGCACTACATTAGGTAACATAATGTCACGTAATACGCCATGAGTACACGCCTCGCGATTCGTCGAGTTTAAAAAAAAAAAAGAACCAACAAACAAACAGATACCATGCGTTAGTTTAGCCTCATCCAGGAGGGAGGAAAAAAGGATTTAAAAAAACAATTGATGCTAACCCTTTGCCAGCTGCTATGCTGTGGTCACTCTTCGACAATATCGACGCATCAATACGTACGTACCTCTACATCCATCCCCCTTTTACTCGACAATACAATCGTATGCAGAGTGTCAACGCGTGAGTCATCGATCGGACTTGCCTTTATAACAACAAGTCGGGGCTATTCATCTAGAGGGTTCAAATTAGAAGCTAGCCAGCAAAGCTACCAACTACGACCTCTCTGTTCAATTGAACAGTGTCCTTTCCGACGTGTGAGACTACCTGTACAAAGGCTTCAACACTTTAGATAGATTCAATCAAGGACAAGACTGCATTCATACAATCCATAGCTGCCAATCGTGGCGCGTAGAAGCAAGAGCCGAATTTTACGATAGAATGCGCATGGTACCTCTGCGCCAAGTGATGACTACCTCATCAACTCGTTCGACAGCGGATATTGTCCTGTATGAAACCATGTCGTGGCAGGCTATCGGTAGGAAGAATGACGACGTTGAAGCATCAAGGGGGATAGCGTATAGTAAGGCTGGTATAGCTCGAATCCAAAAGAGGTAAGCTTCTGGAAGATACAACCTCGGACAGGCCCAGGTTACCGTACTGTGGTGATGAGAACTTGGCCTCCCACTATTCAACGCCACGGTAGGATATGGTAGCTGGGACGCCGTCCACGTTTCCTCCATCTTTCGGTGATAGCCCATCCTTCGCGCACATCAGACTCACCAGTAACCCACGCCATATAGGAGCTTGGTTTGAACTTGTGTATCTCGGGGTGCAGCACGCATCATGGAAACCGTCTGAACAGGAGAGTAGGAGTCAGCGGTGCTGCAGTTTGTATTTCACGGCAGGCACCCATGGTGTAACAAGGACATGCGCCATGTGAGTTTGATGAGCCTGTTCATAGCCGTGCCACGACACCAAGTTTCACGCTTAGAGCGATTGACTGTTACTTCTGAACCGTGGGACCGAGGAATGTTGAACCGGAATGTAGCCCGGTGACAATGCAAGGCCAACACTCTGGGTGGGAAAGAAAAAAAAAATTGGAATTCAGACGCGACCAGCTTCATTGTTTATTTGGCGAAATACAAACTATTAATTCTGAATTCGTAGGATCAAGGTCACCAACTGCCGTGGGTGTTGAGGATTGTTCTGTGATATGGATGCACATGCCTGGACTCGCTTAGTACCCGTTAAGTTACGAACTAAATATGCAACGGGAGATTTTGCTTCCAAGTCGGGCCATCAAAATTCCTGGAAAGTCGACTTCTGATGGCGGGCTTAGTCTCAGTACTATACACAAGACACGGACTACTTCTACATGCCTGATTGAATTGCTGGAACATCTCCCAGAATGACCATCACGTTACTAAACTCAAAAGCAACAGTAGTTTTAGTACTAGGAGAAGAGTAGCTCCTTTTGCGGAGATGTCTGACAGCACAACGCCCCGGTGCGGCCATGGATCTGTCGGCGGAGTGTCCTGCGATGTAATTCTCGGGTCGAGTGTGCGTGATAGCTTGGAGATTAGCAGGGTATTTGCAAATACGAGGTTAGACGAAGCTGCCGACAGAGTAGCGGGCGATTTTCGATGTTTCGTGTTTAGCCCAAATGTTGGTTTTTCATTTCAACAAAGTTGTGGCTATTGTCACGTAAAGAGCGTCTTGGCAAGGATTCCCTCACGATTGGAAACCGCTCTGTTGCTCCGTCAGAGTCCGTGACTCCTTCGTCGCTACTCAGACTAGAGGGTCCACGATATTGTCGGATTTTGGACTAGCTCTGGGCAACCAATCAGATTCGCACAGCTTGTTTCGACAAAAAGGCGACCTCGCAACCCCCTTGCACCCTGTGGTTCCGTTTCCCGTTTCTCGTCAAATGTTTCACGACAGAGTGTCCTACTGCAGTCAATTGGCTCGCCATCACGTCATTAGCAAGGGCGCCTCTTCGAGTTTGGACCGCCCCAACCTTTCTTGGTGCGACAAACGCGGGCGCGGCATGCACGAGGCTGAGCACCGGGGATCGGCCTTCGAGATGGGACGAACTCGTGCTGTTTGTTTCGTGAGAGACATGATAGTACCTCACTGATTCACTCCGTAATACTGGGAAGCGCGAAGTAATACGGAGTAACCAGACCACGCAATGCATGATGCCTAGGACGTCCGCCACCGTGATGTTGTATGAGAAATCTCACCCATGTTCCTCTGCAGACATACCCGCGCCTCTGTTGTACGCGAAAAAGCTACGGAGAGATATATTGCTCTCTCCAATCCATGCCGACAAGTTGGGGGTAATGATCGGAGCACAGGTGTTAACATAAAAAATGTGATGCCACATGACTCCGTACCGTGTAGCAGCTGGGCCTTATTATTGTGACAACAGGGCTGCAGCCCCAAGTCTACCCAGTAAGTTACTCTGTAGTACGGAGTACTCAATCCGTACCGCGATACGGAGTAGATGGCCCAAAAATAGGCCTCCTCCCTGGATTGTACAGCATACTGGTATTACAGCGCCGTGCCGAGGGGAATATTCGACTCCACGCGTGAGATTACCGACCAATGGAACCCACTAGCATCACGGCATTAAAGCACGTCGCGGGTTGTCGCTCTCATTCCAGAATTGGGCCCGCGTAGCGGGACTCGGCGGAAGAGCTCATTGATACATACCGCAAGGCGGGAGCGTTGGCCGGAAAAAGAGGAGATTGGAGAAGTGGCAAAATAATGCAATGAGCAGTGAGGGAAACAAAATGTCCAAACAGCCAAACGACGCACGAGCACGGCCATAATTGACAGTTTAGTCCAGCGTTTTAAGTGGGTGGATGTAGATCTGTCTGGTCTGTTCCTGCATTAGCGTAGAAGGAGGGGCGCAAATTTCTCTACAGAAAGGGGTCAACTACTACTCCGTACTGGTACCAGTACAAACAAACACGCAAGCGCAACCAGTAGCTCCTTCCTGCTTGGCCGGCTATGTGCGCGTAAACCCAAAACCGACACATGCCAGCACCGTCTGCTATTATGCGCGATGCTGGCGTCTCCGTCACAGCTTCGTGTGAGATGTCATGTCACCAGACGCTTTATGCGCTTCATTGAATATTCTGCTTGGCCCAAAGATGTCCTCAGCTGGACAAGCTGGACAAGAAGCATTGAGCTGATGAATATCTACCTAGGTAGGTAGGCATGTCGACGAAATTCTACTCCCTACCTGCGGGGCATTGCCATGCTACTCCTACCTTTCACCGCCGAGAACATCAAGTTTCATAGACTTGACCCAATCGGCAGGTATGGCTATATCCGTACTCCGTACTTTCGTGAAAAACAACCGCGATAACCTTTTGCCTAAGCTTCCCACCAAAGAACTTCGAACTGGACACGCTTAGCCTCCTGGCCAGCCTTAGACAAGATACTACAACACACAACTGTGAGGGAACGAAAGACAATAGGTGAGACCTGCAGCCGCTGCCGCAGAAACATACATGCGGTATAAGTCTTCTCTGCGTCTTGTCTACTGTTTGTGCCCAAATGTTTCCCTGTCATGCACAAATTAATCACTCTGGGGTGTAACTTTCTAATTTCACCCAGTATCATGCGGCATCAATAAAGACTGTTCCATCGAACGCGAACGACGACAGTGTACAGAAGTACCATTGACCTCGATTAGCCACCATGCTACTTCGTATCTGGAGAGTATAATGGCGGTCAAGCTGGCCCCGTCGCCACTCAGCAATGTATCGCCTTATTTTCTCTCCCCTTTTCCGTGGACACAATTTCCCGGGTTTAGTGAAGAAGCACGGTCCAAATCTTGGTCTCGGTCACACTCTTGTCCAAACAAGCATTGGGACGACACGCTATGGGACCAAGCCCAAAGATCCAACCGAGATTGGGTGAGACGTCTCTGAACTAACCGCCGGTTCTGTGCTGATAGATGATAGAACCCTCACTGAAGCGCGGTGTGTCGATGGGGTATCGTTCCATCAGCGACCTTTGTCCAAGTTGGGCTCCGAGATGAAGATTGCCCTGGAGCAGGTCGTCTTGGACCTGTGCAGGAACTAAGCCAGCCAGGTGCCGCGCTGGCATACTTGCCTTGCAACCACTCCGTCACGCGCCCAGGCTCGTTTGGGGCACTCACTGGCTCGTCTTTTTCGCTGACGGCGTGGATTCGACTAGGATGCAGCAAGGATTCGGAGGGTGATGGCAGCCCTGAGCGACCAACCAAGGCATGGAGTCACGTATGTACCCATCAGCGTCTGGAAGGCGGAGTACTCGTAGTACATGGAACGGCGGGCTACCCATGAATGCAAGTGGAGGTGTGGCGCGCTCCATATTGGCCTCCACCAAACGCATTGTGTGAGGCTGCTGCCAACCCCTGAATAGGATCCATGAAGACTGGTGTCGCGCAATTTCCCGGGCCAAGCAAGATTCGCCGGTGCAGAATGAGTCCAAGTTGGCCATGCAATGTAATTGATATGCTATTCGAACGACTGGGGACTGGACTGTGAGTTCGGAGCTTGAAGTAACCAGGAGGCGATGTGAGCGGGCCTAGGCCATGGAAAAACTGGTGGGAGGAGTTGCTTGTCGATTGACGTATTAATATCCTCCCATCCTCCAGCCGGGTATCACATCTTCTCTCTCTTTCTTTCCAGCCAGAAAAGCCACTTCTCTCAAAGCATCGCTTTTGACTCGTCTTGACTTCGGTCGTCCATTCTTTCAACGCTCTATCAAGCCCTCAGCTTTCCCTGTCGCTCTTTAATACCTATTTTTCGTTCTTCACGAATCAATCCGCCAAGATGCGTTTCACTGCTGCTGCCGCTGCCCTTATGGCTGGTTCCGCCATCGCTGGCGATGTGTCCACCGACTACACCACCCAGTTGGTCACCATCACCGCCTGCCCTGAGACCGTCACCGACTGCCCTGCCCGCTCTACTCAGGTCCAGACCTCAGTGGTTCCCTTGACCACTTCTACCGTCTACTCTACCAAGGTCCACACCATCACGTCGTGCGCTCCCCAGGTCACCAACTGCCCGGCTCACAGCACCATCGTCTCTACCGAGACCGTTGCTGTCTCCACCACCGTCTGCCCTGTCGGTCCTCCCACCTCTGTGCCTGTTCCCGGACACTGGAACAGCACTGGCGTCGTTGTCCCTCCTCCCGCCAGCTCGCACGTCGTGCCTCCCGCCGCCTCTGGCCCTGCCGCCTCTGGCCCTGCTCCCTCTGGCCCTGCTACCAAGGTGCCTCCTCCCGCCGCCTCCACCAACTCCCCCGTGACCACCCAGGCTCCTCCCGCCTGCCCTGCTCACTCGGTCACTGCCATCACCAAGAGCTACACTACCGTCTTGACCTCGGTCGAGTACTCTACCATTGAGGTCCCCTGCCCTCCCACTGGCACCGCTCCTCAGGGCACTGGCAAGCCCCCCGTTCCTACCAACCCCGCCAACTCCCCCGCTGGTGGTAACCCCCCTGCCGGTGGCAACCAGACGTAAGTCATAAACAGACTGGACCAATATGTTGAAAATGTCCAAATTGATGCGTAAAGAGCGTTCACGAGGCTAACATGTTCATATCCAGCACTACCCCTCCCCCTGTCACTGCTGGCGCCGCTTCCTTCGCCGGCTCTGCCGTCTTCGCTGCCGTCGCCGGTATTGCCGCTTTCGTCCTTGCTTAAATCTTTTCTTTCGACTACATAGGTTGAAGCCTGAAGGCTTACGGCAATATTTTACGACTGGCATTTCCGGATCTTTGTTGGACATGTACAGAGTGTAACTTAGATTCACTGAATATTACTAGCATTTCTTTTTACGACAACAAAACACGCGCAGGGTCACTTCATGTATTTAATATTCTAATCGTATTGGGTGGGCGTACGGGGAGGGCCATCTCCCAAGAGGAGAGGCGCTTCGCCTGGATGTCTTGCTTTTCTGAACACAACCCCCTTTTCTGGACTCGATATGAATGTCAAAAGGAATATGGACAAGTTGTGTCGGCAGTGTGTGAACCTCTGACAGTCAGGTCTCAACCTCAAACCCGGATATGCAAGCCCACGACAAAAGCAAGAGCAGAATACAGCAGGGAGAAGAAGTGTGGCAGGATGTCGAAACTCCCAATCCCACATTGTAGTTGTAGAACAATAGCATTGATGCTCACGCCGCCGCCCCTTACTCAGTCTCATCTCGCGTGTAACGTCCCCAATGCCACAACAGGCTAGACATTGTTTGTCTTGGCCATCAACCCAGTCAAGCGGAAATTGCGACGATGCCGCCTGTAGACAGGATTCTTCACCACCCCCTATTTGATTGGTCCAAGCGCCCAGCTGACAAGCACAGGTGCGTGGCTCCGCCAATCAAAGCGCACGCCTGTCCCTTTTGGGAAACTCTCCACAGGGATACATGGGAGAAACCTGCCCGCGCGGCATGGTGCATAACAATAGTAATAAGGATGCAGAGGGGACGGACAAACGCCTGTGCCTCTTCCCGCAAAAGATCATTTGGCCGCGCCTCGCGTTTGGTGAAATTGCATGGATGGTGAGGGGGTTTCTCGACACGGCTTTTATTTGCATTGATTGCGGCACCGTGTCGGGTTTGGGGGCTGCCAGATCCTTTTCGCGCATGGCGTTGCTAGGTGGTACTGAGCTTATTTCACAGACCAGCTTAGCGTCTCTGAGGAGGTGCCTGTACTTGGACACCAAGTCCGTTTGTTGTCGGATGTTTTGACCCCGTCTGGTGCCCTTGTTTTTTTTTTTTTTTTTTTTTTCAGACCTGGGCTGTTTGTCGTTGGCACAGGCCTAGGTGCTCGGGGTACATCCGTACCTGGATTGCAAGTCCTACGGCGTCGGCATGGAGAGCAATCAACTCTCAAGGGCCACCATAGCCACCAGTTGACACCACATTGTGGCTGGGCACGGGTCCCAGTGCTTGCAACGTTGAGAGCGGCGCCAAAGTTGCCGGCCAGCACCAACTGCGCGGTGCGGAATTGGCCGCAGGCACTGCTTCTGTCAAAAGACCAGACGCCATTTGGAGTCCGGTCAATTCGTTGATGAATATACAAGAGTGACTACTACCATCACCGTTGGCATACAAACTCAACTCGACCGTTTCCCAAAACCGCCATGTAACGGTTGTAGAGGGAGTCGCGAAAGGTTGTTACATGTACCTTGTCTAGTAAGCTTATATGGGCGCCCAAGGCTTAAGCTTCCTTTGAGTTTAGATGTCCCACACCAGATCCTAGAGCAGCACTATCAGAGCTGCGAAAGGGTATGGTTCTTCTAGACACTGGCCAAGAGGGAGGCTCCCATCACGTCAAACTTGAACTTCAGTCATTGCAATAGCTTTGCGACTATATTGTTTCGAATCCTTACACTGCTCGATATTTCGCCTCTGGCAATGCGTGCCACGACCTTGATGTGTGCTCTGCCAGAGCAATATTCGCTGCCTTGTCCTATTATGACTGTGTATTGTATGGCTTGCCAATACGGTCACAGCAGTCTCAAAAGCTCGCTAGATCTGGCCGTCCGCGAAATGCTTTCCGAATTCGATGAATTGAGTTTGGCTGGATGAAAGAGGACAAGTCAGACTCGGCATGGACCACACCATGGAGCGTAGCCCACGTCATTATATATCCCAGACCTCGACGCAGTCCGTCTTTTGTTCCATGCATCTTATAGTCTTGTGTCCTTGTTAAAATCACCATCGCCAAACAAATAAATTAGATTCGACTGGTTACGCCTGCACTTGTCGCGGCGTGCTACAGCCAAGCCATGACAAGCAAATCACATGATAAAAGCACCAAGAGTCAAATTTAGGAAAGAGAAAAAAAAGACCCGATTCAGATTACAGATTTCAAGAATAAAGCTCTCATTTCTTACCCCCACGAACTCAAAGCGTCACGGTTGTTTCCGGCACTTTAGCCGCGGATCCATCCAACCTCACCCTTACACCGTTATGGAGCGTAACAATCCTTATATAAGCACCTGGGTATTCAAATAAGTTAAAAAAATTACAAATAACTTAATAACTACTTTCAATAATTACATATTATAAGTTATACTACTCCGTAGTACTAGTACTAGTATACATAAAGTATACAGTATTACAAAGATACCTTTGAATATTCTCTACAATATTAATATTGACATAATTTATAAATTAACCCGGACCCACATATCCGCCCACGACATTGAGAACTTCTCCAAGGCGAGGACAAAAGTCTGCCCCGCGTCAACCGCGACCATTGTCAAGCTCGCGGCCTGTCATCACCGCCTCGACCAACTCGCCATACATTGGTGCTTCCTACGCGCAGACGCACCAAGCTCGTGCAAATTATTGCTTCTAGTGCCTGCACGAAAACGCTTCTCGCAGACGTCCTCTCCCCAGGCCGCCTTCATCCTCCTCGCCCACTAGACCGCTTTTCATCACCATGGAGGAGCAGCTCGTGCAGCTCCTCGCCAACATCCAGCTGCCGGACCAGGGGCCCCGACAACAGGCTGAGATCGAGCTTAAGCGTGCCCGGACGAACCCTGCGTTTCCCGTTTCCTTGGCCAAGATTGCCTCTCATGCCTCGGTCAGCACCGGTGTCCGCCAGGCTGCCTTGACCTCTCTGAGGCAGTTCATCGAGGGCAACTGGGCTATTGGAGACCAGGACGACGAACCTATAATCCCCATCGACGATGACACGAGAGCTATCCTGAGGCAGTCTCTTCTTGATTTGGCGCTGAGCCAAGAGGAGGATCGAAAGGTCAAGATCTCGGCAAGGTACATTCATATGCCAATACAGCCCCGCTCCCTTCTAGACCCTTTTCACCCCTTCGATGGAAGAGAAACAAGTTGGTAACTAAACGCTGGCATCAATAGTTACGCAGTGGGCAAGATCGCCATTCATGACTTCCCCGAGCAATGGCCCAACTTGCTGCCTACCGTTCTGAGTACGATTCCATCCGGCACCGATGCCCAGCTCCACGGAGCTCTGCGAGTCCTCGGTGACCTCGTCGATGAGAGCTTGAGCGAGGATCAATTCTTTTCCATGGCTCGGGATATTGCCAAGACCCTGACAGATGTCGCCCTCAATGAGAACCGGAAGCCCATGCTCCGAGCCCTCGCCATTTCCGTCTTCCGATCCTGCTTCGATTTGATGAACATGGTTAAAGACGATCACTCCAAGGAAGTCAAGGCATTTGCTGAAGAGCTGCTTGCTCAATGGAACCCGTTCTTTGTCAATGTTCTCAAGAGCCGTCTACCAGACGCTGACGTGAGCACGGGTACCCAACCTGACAGCTGGAACCACATAGTTGCCCTTAAGCTGCAGGTCGTCAAGACTCTGCTTCGCATTCGCAGAGTCTTCCCAAACCTACTGCTTCCCCAGAGCACTACCTTCTTTAGCGCCGTTTGGGAGGAATTGAACCTTTTGCAGACACCACATGAAGAGCTCTACATCAAGACCAACGCTCAGGGCCGCCTCGAGGACTCTGATAACCTTCCATACACTCTGGATTTCCTGATCCTGGAAGAGCTCGACTTCCTCAACCAGTGCTTCCGCTCCCCTCCCGTCAAGGCGGAACTGGATGGCCACTTACAAGCCCATGCTTCCGCCCAGGATGTGCCCTGGATGGTCGAGATTATGAGAATGCTGGTCAGCTACTCTCGGGTTACCCAAGAAGAAGAGGAACTGTGGGACATCGATTGCTCCTTGTACCTGGCCGAAGAGACGTCAGTTACGGCAAACTACACTGCTAGAACTGCCGCCGGTGACTTGCTGATCAAGATGGGAGAGTGGTTCAATGAAAAAGCCGTTGATGGTCTGTTTGGATTTACAAAGTCGCTGTTTCCCGGCGACGGATCCTTGTGGAGAAGCCAGGAATCCGCCCTTTTCCTCTTTACGATGCTTCTGAGTGACTTCCAGGATCTTAGTAAGACCATCCCTGACGCTGTTGCTAGCGCCTATCTCGAATTGGTTGATTTCACCATCAACAAGCCCGATGAGCCTTTGCTTCGCGCTCGTGGCTACCTCGTCGCAGGCATCATTGGCCGCTCTTTCCAGACTCCTCTCGCTCTCTTGGATCGCATGGTTCATGCCATCACAAATGAGGAGTCAGAAGTTGTCCAAGTTGCCTGTATCAAGGCTGTTGAGGGCTTGATTAACTCCGGTCGAGTAGGCGCCGATCGCCAGGTGGCAATCATCACCGCTATACAATCCTACATGAACGAAAAGGACCCTGCTGAAATGGAAGAGGCGGACGAACTCCTTGTCGTCCTTGCTGAGACACTCCGTTCGGCCATTAGTCTGGATACCAAGATTGCTCTTTCAAGCGAAATTCAATCCACCGACCTGCTGTTCATGCTTGCCAAGCTTGGCGCCAGCAACTTCCAGGTTACCATGATAATTTCAGAGTCCTTTGAGGATATTGTTGCCAGCCTCTCAGACAGTGCTTCGTTCAGCGCTCTTTGCGCTCGTACTCTGCCTACGCTCACCGGTGCCTTTGATGTTGCTAGTGTGACTGAAGACGACCCTCTTGTCACAGTCGCCACCGAACTGCTTGTTGTTTTGGCCGAAAATGGGTCAGAGCCACTCCCTGCGGGGTTTGTGGCCACCATCTTCCCCAAGTTGAACCGTCTCTTGATGGAGTCGGAGGAAGGCGAAGTCCTTCGACCTGGTTCTGAAATTGTCAAGTGGGTTCTCTCTCATGATCATCAGCAGGTTTTCAATTGGCAAGATGCAAATGGCCGATCTGGCCTCGAGGTTTGCTTGCACATCATTGACCGTCTGCTCGGCCCCTCTATAGAGGATAACTCTGCATCCGAAGTAGGTGGACTGGCTGCGGAACTCGTTGAGAAGGCTGGTCAGGAGCGTCTTGGTCCGTTTCTGCCTCAGCTTTTGCAGGCTGTCGCCAATCGACTTGCATCCGCTCAAGCTGCTGCCTTCATCCAGTCTTTGATCTTGGTCTTTGCCCGGCTTTCTCTGAACGGCGCTCAAGATGTCGTCGAGTTCCTAAGCCAGATTCAGATCAACGGGGACAGCGGACTGCAGATTGTTATGGCGAAGTGGCTTGAGAACTCGGTTAGCTTTGCAGGCTATGATGAAATCAGACAAAAGTGCGAGGACTGCTCACTCTACCTGATTGTACTTGCCCAGATAATGCTGACCCTTGTTTAGTGTCATTGCCCTTTCGAAGCTCTATGCGCTCAACGACTCCCGCCTCGCCCAGATTCAGGTCAAGGGTGACTTAATTGTAGGCGCCGATGATGGCAAGATTAAGACTCGGTCACGCGCGAAGCAGAGTATGTATCTTGAATCACGTCTTTGATCCATTTGTCCACCTCGAGGAGCTTACTAACCACACGGCTTGAACTAGACCCCGATCAATACACAATCATCCCTGCTCCCCTGAAGATCGTCAAGGTCCTGATCGAAGAGCTTGCATCCGCCGCCGGTGCAGGTGCGGCTGCCAGCACTGCAGCTGCCGCCGTTGCTGCCGCCGAGTTTGACGAAGACAACGATGAAGACGGCTGGGAGGACGACGACGATACCCTCGACCTTGGCCTGGCTGCTACCAAGGCTGATCTCATGACCTTCATGGAAGGCGGCCCCCAGCGACGACCAGACGATGAGACTCACTCATACCTGACGGAGTTCTTTGTCCGATGCGGCCGCGAGAACATTGCCAACTTCCAGGAGTGGTACAACATGCTTTCCGAAGACGAAAAGACTAGGCTTAACCTCGTTGCCAACTCTGCAGGCTAGATTAGCAAGGAAGCTCTGTGATGAAGAAGAAAGATTAACGAAGAAAGATGATCACACGCTTGAGACGGTTGCATTTATCACGACTGCTGAAACGTTATCACGACTTGCTTGTTGTTGCCTGTGTGGAATTGAATGATACACTTGAGAATAAAATGGACGGGATAGAATGGAGAGCTGCTGGACTAGGTGTAGAGAGATTAAAAATTACATAGATAGCACAACTTGGGGACAGACTCTTGAGGTGAGAGAAAAGGATATAGTAATAAAGCCACTGCCCTCTACACAGTATCTGGTCGATGATGAATTAGGCTGTGATTCCCGGAATTAGGTTCAAAAAATTGATGTTAACTTTTTAACCCTAGTTAGTATATGCTTTACTAACTTAAAGTGGGAATATTACTATGTATCGTCTTACAGTGATTTTTTTAGGCTTTTCCACTTTCGTACACGAGAGCGTTAGACTTTCTGTTTAAGAGATATATCTCTGCTGGCCCTGACTTGTCAAGTTGTGTGTTATTTAATAACCACTTATATAATGGGAAAAATTATCGTGAGCCTTAAATTATTATCGCTGTTATTCGATTAGTAAGCTCATTTTATTTAAAGAAGAATATCGGTTACCCTAATTATAGAAATTAGCGCGAAGCTGCTACTAACCTTCTACTAATTTCTTTTTAAAAGATTTCACGTAAATCTTAGTAATAAAGCCTTTTACAGGTATTAAAGTTACCTTTATTAACTTAATATATTATAAGTAAAGATAAATAAAGGTTTATGTAAAATATTAGGTCTTTACTTAAATTTATGTATTATATCCAGCTAATTTAAGTTTAGCGCTTATATTATACTAAATTATGCGTTAAAATTGAGGTTAAAAGATTGACCCCAATTCCGGGAGTCACAGCCTTAGTGGCAAAGTACCGAATATGTTTCGTAAATCGTAACAATCATTAATTATTCATGGCGGTACTAATCGTATTTCAACCTAATCTTACAGTTTTTGCGAGTCAGGCGATACTTTGTGATCAAAGTGTCGCCGGCGGGGGCATCGCACACTATTCACTCCGTACCCTTCTTCTGGGTTTCACGGCAATCTCAGATAATATGTCCTCCGCCAAAGCCTCCAGATCCGCTAAAGGGGCCGCTGCCTGGTCCTTGGCCTGGCCCGGGGAATCTCGGCGTGCCGCCTGGCCCGACAGGATCCCATCGCGCACCGGGGGGGGCTTGCGGATCGTAGCCCCCATAATCGCCGTTGCCGCCCTGGCCGGTAAACAGGGGGTCGTCAAATGTTGGGTGCATCCCGCTGGGTGCTACCGGACGTGGCAGGCCGCCCGGGACGAACGAGCCTCGAAGAGGATCATGCGGCCCCAGCCCCGGGGGGTTCAAGTCGTCGTGGCCGATATTGAATGGGTGTCGGCCGCCGGGCATGGCTATCGGGTTGCCGCGGGGCGGCCGATTTATCTCGTATTCGTCCTCGAACCCAGGAGGCGGGAAGTCGCCCACGGGAGCTCCAGGCCGGGGCCTAGCCATCTGGGGAAGGGGCCCAGGAGGGTGGTAAGGAATATTCGGCTCGACAGACGGATCGAACGGACGCTGGGGGTTCCGCCGTTCCTGGCCCCGGCGTTCCGAACGAGCTGCTTCCTCGGCGTCTTCTGTCTCAACGTAGCCTTCGCTCTGGAGCTTTGGGATGAGCTTCTGGACGATTTTGACCTTGAGGTCATTCAGTAAATCTGCGGCAGACCCTCGTCAGCATGCTGCACTGTGTACGCAACGGTGGCTCTAGGCTCTATCCACGTAGGGGGGTAGCCAAACGTGAATCGCCGTACCGGATATTGCCTCTCCCGAGACAAACACGTTGCGCAGCTTCTCGACCAGGTCGGAGCGGTCTTCTTGCCCTTCAGTCATGGTTATGCGCACAGGGAGAGCCGCCGAGTTGACAATGTCGCGCACGGTGCGCTCGAACCGGTGGATGTTTTCGTCGCCAACGGCCAGGCCGCGGACTTCGACTTTGGCACCCATTCGGTCGATCCGGAACACAAAGTCCATCGAGGACTGTTTGTGTTTGTAGACGAAACTGAGGGAGCCGAAGCCAGAGTTCCATTTGGGCGGGAGGCGAGGCGCAAGGGACTCGCAGTCGGCTACGCGCGTCGCAAAACCAGCTTGGTTAGCAGATGTTGACGGCAGCGCCTACCTGACGGGCGGATTCGCTGGATGCTCTACACTTACGTATTACTTTATCTTGGTCGAACCCGCGGAGTCGGAAGCCAAGAGCGGCCAGGTATGCATGGACGAGCAAGGCGATGGCTTCATAGGAGCTCGCCAGGTCGGAGCTGTCGTCGGCCTGTTGGTGTGTTGGTAGGGCGTCGGCCATGCCCTGTAGCACGGCCGAGGTGCCGAGTATCGATGCCATGGCGATGGTTGGCCGTCGGAGAACTCTGATGGATGGTGATGGTAGTGGATATCGAAGAATTAGCAGAGGCGCCGTGTCACGCTGGGAGCTCGGAAGCTTGAGAGCTGGAAGCCTGGACTAGAAGATGTGGGCAAAAAAGGTGGGCAAAGGCAAGGGCGGGGTCGATTCGACCCAGTTGCCAGCAGAAACCCCAGAGTGGCGTCATTGTCTGGCTGCCTGCAACGGTCCAGCGACTCCAGCCCTATAAGTGGGGACCGTTCCATGATGTAGTACTACTTGCCTACCTACCCTAGATACCTAGTAGGTAGTAGGTGTATCCAGGCGTGCAGTCGGCATTTCTGGTGACGGCAAAAGTCTCACGGGACAGGTAGTAGCGACGTCTCCGTGCTTCCACCGTGTACATTATTACATACGTCCTACATGATTCATTACACGATGCGTTTTTACAATCTGGCTCCAGGTGAAATGCTAGAGCTACTCAAATGGGCATATTATCCCTTGGAGTCTACCATTAGTGTGACTGCGTCTGTTCTGTCTATTTTAACATACGTTGGCCTCCTTTCCCCACTGCACCTTTGAAGCTACCGATGAAGCTACATTACCTTTGATTGAGAGAATAATATGCATAAGAAGTAGGTATCTGGGATATGAAGAAATAGTCGGAGCACACGCCCTGGATTAGAAAGGCCACCTATCCACTTAAATAGTTTCAAGCGCGGCTCTTAATTTTAAGTATTATTATAAAATATTTTTTCCCCCTTAATAATAAGAATAAATTAACTTATCGTGGTTAGTTGCCCGGCTGGGCAGCCCTGGAAGTGAGGACAAAGTGAAGTTCACCACAACACACTAACTACACCAGGAATGTCCGGGACACGGCGTTACGCCGGGCCTGGGACGGTGCGGCATAACATGACACCTAGAGGAAACTACGTGATGGCCTTGAACACCTGGATACTAGGACAGTCACCTGACCAGCGCACCGGGGCCAACCCGGACTCAGCCCGGACCTCTACCACACACGCTCCAACGAACCGCCTCGACCCAGTTGCCAGCAGAAACCCCAGAGTGGCGTCATTGTCTGGCTGCCTGCAACGGTCCAGCGACTCCAGCCCTATAAGTGGGGACCGTTCCATGATGTAGTACTACTTGCCTACCTACCCTAGATACCTAGTAGGTAGTAGGTGTATCCAGGCGTGCAGTCGGCATTTCTGGTGACGGCAAAAGTCTCACGGGACAGGTAGTAGCGACGTCTCCGTGCTTCCACCGTGTACATTATTACATACGTCCTACATGATTCATTACACGATGCGTTTTTACAATCTGGCTCCAGGTGAAATGCTAGAGCTACTCAAATGGGCATATTATCCCTTGGAGTCTACCATTAGTGTGACTGCGTCTGTTCTGTCTATTTTAACATACGTTGGCCTCCTTTCCCCACTGCACCTTTGAAGCTACCGATGAAGCTACATTACCTTTGATTGAGAGAATAATATGCATAAGAAGTAGGTATCTGGGATATGAAGAAATAGTCGGAGCACACGCCCTGGATTAGAAAGGCCACCTATCCACTTAAATAGTTTCAAGCGCGGCTCTTAATTTTAAGTATTATTATAAAATATTTTTTCCCCCTTAATAATAAGAATAAATTAACTTATCGTGGTTAGTTGCCCGGCTGGGCAGCCCTGGAAGTGAGGATAAAGTGAAGTTCACCACAACACACTAACTACACCAGGAATGTCCGGGACACGGCGTTACGCCGGGCCTGGGACGGTGCGGCATAACATGACACCTAGAGGAAACTACGTGATGGCCTTGAACGCCTGGATACTAGGACAGTCACCTGACCAGCGCACCGGGGCCAACCCGGACTCAGCCCGGACCTCTACCACACACGCTCCAACGTCGTGGTTAGTTACGATTCCCTAGCCTAAATAAGGCTAAAATACAGTGTTACTAGATACCCTTTATCTAGCCCTTTTCTCTAATTTTTTTTAAACAAGTTAATAAGTTAATATTAAGTAATTATTTTATTTTATTTTTATTATAATTGATAATTAAAAGATAATTATTTAAAAAATCTTTTAGTATATTAAAATACTTGAATAAACGTAATATTTTGGGACGATTTTCATCATGTGTGAATATCTACTTCTTTTAGTATTATCATGTAAACCGATACTTATAAACGGCCACATTTCCTAGCCATATCTTTTCCTAAACTATGCGACTGACAGTTTTAGAGCCACAGCCGCAGCCACCGGCTCATAAATCTATAGCGCCACACGGCCTACACTTCGGCCTCTGGGATCACTTTGTGGTCCCTGCTTATGCTCTTAGGCCGTAGCCTTAGGGGGGTTAGCGGCTGCCTGGGTATTAGCAGCTGCCTGGGTATTAGCAGCTGCTTGGGTTTTAGCGGCTGCCTGGGTATTAGCGGCCGCTTGAGAGTTGGCGGCCTGAGACTTAACAGCTGCTTGGGAGTTGACGGCCGCTTGGGAGTTACCGGCGACTTTAGAGCTGGCGGCCTGAGAGTTAACAGCTGCTTGGGAGTTACCGGCGGCTCTAGAGCTGGCGGCCTGAGAATTGGCAGCTTGAGAGCTGCTAGGTTGAGAGACTGGAGGAGCCGACGAGCTTGGCCTAGAGCTGGGCTGGGAGTTTAAAGAAGCTGACGAGCTTGGCCTTGAACTGGGCTGGGAGCTCGAAGGAGCTGACGAGCTGGGCCTAGAGCTTGAAGGTGCCGACGAGCTTGGCCTTGAAGAGCTGGGCTGGGAGCTTGAAGGAGCCGACGAGCTTGGCCTTGAAGAGCTGGGCTGGGAGCTTGAAGGAGCCGACGAGCTTGGTCTAGATGAGCTGGGTTGTGACGAGCTTAGCCTTGAACTGGGCTGGGAGCTTGAAGGAGCCGACGAGCTTGGTCTAGATGAGCTGGGCCTTGAAGAGCTGGGTTGTGACGAGCTGGGCCTCGAGCTTGAAGGAGCCGACGAGCTTGGTCTAGATGAGCTGGGCCTCGAGCTTGAAAGAGCCGACGAGCTTGGTCTAGATGAGCTCGGCCTTGAAGAGCTAGGCTTAGAGCTGCTTGGTGGGGACGAGATTGCCTGTGATGAACTCGGTCTTGAAGAGCTGGGCTGCGACGAGCTGGGTCTTGAAGAGCTTGGTCTTGAAGAGCTTGGTTTCGAAGAGCTCGGCTGCGATGAACTTGGCCTGGAGCTTGGTCTTGAAGAGCTGGGCTGCGACGAGCTGGGTCTTGAAGAGCTGGGTCTTGAAGAGCTTTGTCTCGAAGAGCTCGGCTGTGATGAACTTGGCCTGGAGCTCGGTCTTGAAGAGCTGGGCTGCGACGAGCTTGGTCTTGAAGAGCTTGGTCGTGAAGAGCTTGGTCGCGATGAACTTGGTCTTGAGGAGCTTGGTCTCGAAGAGCTTGGTCGTGATGAGCTTGGTCGTGATGAGCTTGGCCGTGACGAGGTGGGCCGTGACGAGGTGGGCCGCGATGAGCTTAGTCGTGATGAGCTTGGTCGTGATGAGCTAGGCCGTGATGAGCTGGGTCTTGAAGAGCTGGGCCGTGACGAGCTAGGCCGCGATGAGCTTAGTCGTGATGAGGTTAGCCGTGATGAACTAACTAGGCCGTGATGAGCTTGGCCGCGATGTGTTCTGTCTTGACGAGCTTGGCCGCGACGAGGTGGGTCTCGAAGAGCTTGACGCGCTTGGTCGTGATGAGCTTGGCCGTGATGAGCTGGGCCGTGAAGAGCTGGGTTTTGAAGAGCTTGGTCTCGAAGAGCTGGGTCTTGACGAGCTTGGCCGCGACGAGGTGGGTCTCGAAGAGCTTGACGCGCTTGGTCGTGATGAGCTTGGCCGCGATGAACTTGGCCGCGATGAGCTTGGTCGTGATGTGTTCTGTCTTGACGAGGTGGGTCTTGACGAGCTTGGCCGCGACGAGGTTGAACTTGGCCTTGAGCTTGGTCTTGAAGAGCTTGGTCTCGAAGAGCTGGGTCTTGAAGAGCTGGGCCGTGACGAGGTGGGCCGCGATGAGCTTAGTCGTGATGAGCTTGGTCGTGATGAGCTTGGTCGTGATGAGCTTGGTCGTGATGAGCTTGGTCGTGATGAGCTTGGTCGTGATGAGCTTGGTCGTGATGAGCTTGGTCGTGATGAGCTTGGTCGTGATGAGCTGGGTCTTGAAGAGCTGGGCCGTGACGAGCTAGGCCGCGATGAGCTTAGTCGTGATGAGCTTGGTCGTGATGAGCTTGGTCGTGATGAGCTTGGCCGTGATGAGCTGGGCCGTGAAGAGCTGGGTTTTGAAGAGCTTGGTCTCGAAGAGCTCGGCTGTGATGAACTTGGCCTTGAACTTGGCCTTGAGCTTGGTCTTGAAGAGCTTGGTCTCGAAGAGCTGGGTCTTGAAGAGCTGGGCCGTGACGAGGTGGGCCGCGATGAGCTTAGTCGTGATGAGCTTGGTCGTGATGAGCTGGGTCTTGAAGAGCTGGGCCGTGACGAGCTAGGCCGCGATGAGCTTAGTCGTGATGAGGTTAGCCGTGATGAACTAACTAGGCCGTGATGAGCTTGGCCGCGATGTGTTCTGTCTTGACGAGCTTGGCCGCGACGAGGTGGGTCTCGAAGAGCTTGACGCGCTTGGTCGTGATGAGCTTGGCCGCGATGAACTTGGCCGCGATGAGCTTGGTCGTGATGTGTTCTGTCTTGACGAGGTGGGTCTTGACGAGCTTGGCCGCGACGAGGTGGGTCTCGAAGAGCTTGACGAGCTTGGTCGCGATGAACTTGGCCGCGATGAACTTGGCTTTGAGACGCTGCTGGGCCTTGACGAGGTCGGTTGCGATGACCTCGACGACTCTGAGTGGGAAGGAGTAGCAGAGCTATGACGTGACGGGCTCGACTGTGACGTCGCCTTTGAACTTCTGCTGTGCTTGGCGGAGCTCGGTCGAGACGAACTGGGCTTCGAGCTGCTCCGTCGAGAAGACTCATGCTTTGAGCGGCTACTTGATTTCGATCTTGAACGTGGTGGAGTTGGCTCATGGTGTGTAGAATGGTGGTTTGGGTGCGATGTGCGACTGCGAGTCCGGGTATGATGTCCCCTCGAAACGGTAACCGTGGTACATTCAATTTCGAAAATGGTGATTGTGCCCTTGCAAGCACGGCACTCTGGCTGGTGAGTTTGGACCGCAGGGCCCGGCCTGGTCTCACCCTTGGTAATGGTAATGTACGGAACATCGGATGGCTGAAAGCAGTATATGGTGCCCATGCAGCCTTCACACTCGGGATGATGGGTTGACCATCTGGTTGTACGCGCCTGCCACGGCCAGGGGTTCGTGTAATAGGGCAAAGTCAGGGTCCTCAAGGATGGCAGAACTTGTATTTCCTTGTTGCCCTGCCAGTCTCCCTGGTCCTTTTGTCCCTTACGGCGATGATGCTCCCAGTCGTTTTCTCCATTGTAATCATTGTGATCCCACTGCTGGCCATCCTGGTATCTCTTGCTTTTTTGGCCATCCTGGCCCGGCTGTTGATTACGGAATCTTGATCATCCTGAGCATCTTGGGCATCCTGACCACTCTGGCTAGGTGCTTCTGCCAACACGGTTGGCCGTGACGGGCCTGGTGGCCCAGCTGCCAAGGTGAATGGCTGCTGTGCACAATCATCGTCGCACACGCCAGGGTCGCCTTGCGCCGTCACGCTGGCATGTTGACTGACGACGTCGGCCTCACTAGAAAGAGACGTCGTCGAGAACAACACCACCAGAAATGCAACTGCCCTCATGATGGTCTTGCTGGAACCATGCGCCATGGGTCTGCCTCTGAAAAAGCAACAAGAAGACTATAATGGACAAGGGAATCGTCTATGCCTGGCCCTCAGTGACTGAAGTGCAGGCTAATGACCATGTTGATAATAGTCCTGTAAGCAATAGGGCCTTGTGGGACCTTTTGGCAATATATATCAATACTATATAGCAACGTGTCCGATAGGGAAAGTGAAGGAAGTGTTTCGTAAAACGACCTGGCTTTTCTAGACCATTGTCTATGCAAAATCTAGACGCGCCTCAAATAAGTCTATCACGTCTACGTGCTCCATCGGGAACCTGGACTGTGAGCTGGATGATTTCCAACATGGCCGACTGACACCCGGTTGGGTTGGCAGACATATTTTGTGGCTATTGCTATCGAGTAAACTATATCCTATACTCAATATTTTATCGCGTGTGGCTATTTTGAGTTTTCGCACTGAGTTACTGGCACCAACTATATCTAGGTCTAAGTTTACTTCCACCCAGTCAGTGGCTGAAGTTATCATGAGCTTAGTTTCAACGGTATATCACGATATATCATTCATATTATTAGCGTTTAACGTATTATAATACGTTTATAGTACATTACGCGGAACATTATAGTTCTTTAGCTTGGTATAGCTAACATGTAGTGTTACCAGATGTAATACTTATATAGCGCTTGTGTAATATAAAAAATAAGAATAAAATAACTTGACAACTCAGTATTTCGGCATTTTGAAAGAATGTCTCCCCCCAATACGAGGATTGCGTTATTCCAGCCTCGCGGCCGCCTTTAGTCCAGAAGGCTACGTCCACCAACGGGCCAGACCACTACATAGGTCATACCTGGGTTTGTCTATCCGGAAGAAGTCAATTGAACCTCCATTTGGGATCAAATAGGGAGTGTCATGGTCCATGGCTCGTATGTCGGTCGGCGCCAAAACGCGTGGCTGACGCGGTCAAACACGAAGCTGCTGTGCTTGACGCCGTGGAGCAACCATCATCTGGGACGGTACGGGCAGTCATCAGCGGTATATCATGGTCTGAAGGAGTCCCGAGGCTATGGTTCTACAGCCGACTAATGTGTGAATTGGTGCTCGCGGCAATAAGCTCTCGTTGAAGCTGGGTAGATGGCCATAGTAAAGTCGTCGGACGTTGGATTGCGAGGTGGGTCTAGATCTGAGACAGATGGCGCTATACCCGATCCGGAAAAGCTTGAGCCGGATGTTGAAATATGGAGACGTGCATTTCATCAAGTGGCTCGTCTTGTTGAAATTATGACGATATCCTTCTGCTCAACAATTTTGCCTCGTTCTCCATGTGGCTGTCCGGCTGCAGAAAAATAAAAAAAGAAATCCAATGCAAGGCTTGAGCAGAAGCCATTGAATGGCGTAGGTGGAAAGTTTCATCACGATACACTGGGCACACAACTACAGGACCAACATGGCATGTTCTCGCGTGACTCCCAGGCTCGTTCGTGTTGCGCTATGTGTCCATTGTCCAGACCCTTGGTCCCGAGCCCTATCGGAGAATTAATGGCATCCCCATAGGGAAATTAACCCCCTTTTCGCGCTTCTCATGGTGCAGCCACCACCCGAGCCTTTGGTAACCGCAATGGTAACAAAGCTTCGTCGCCGCAGCTGTCAAGGAAACGTCTGGACCAAAGACAATTCAGCGGCCTGCTTCCATTGTGGGGCCGTCCGCTCCGTAGTCGGCTATCGGGCTTCAATGTTTCGTGTTGGAACCGGGACGTGGTGCGGGCACTGCGGGGCGTATATTGGACGCTAGACCTGATCCGGCGCCCGTCGCCTTCAATGGGTGGTGCCGAGGCGGACCAGACCCGTCCTGGACTTGCAGTGGTTCGGGCATGGCTGCAGCCCTTTACACGAATTGATCTCATCACCCAAGACCATCCCCCCCCCTTCATTATCCTTTATCGACGTTATTGGCAATTAGCAATACGAGAAACGCCATAACTGGCGAGTCTATCCTCCATTTCATTGCCTTTCAGCCGCTGTCCCAACAAGCCCGAACCAGGCGCCCTTTCGACGCTGGTCCATTTAATCACGTGAAGCGCCGCGTGAGGAAAGGAAAACGGAATCCACCGTCTCTTCACCCGTCCGTCTTGCGCAATTCTTGGCTAACGAGGCTGACGAGGCTATCGAGCCGCATCCCTTCGTATTCTTCTCCCGTGGTGTCCGCCAATGTCTCGGGCTGCCCAGCCAGATCTGCAGCCAAGTGCTAGTCTAGCTGCCACCGACGCCTCCCTCTCACCGTCCCAGGCCGCAACCCTCCTCGCCTCCTTCACCAACTTCCTCACCGTTGCGCTGCACTCCATCCTCTACCACCGGAAGCTCTACCCGGCCGCTACGTTTCTCACAGCCCGCGCCTACAACCTGCCGGTTCACCAGTCTCGACACCCCGGAGTCTGCGCCTGGGTGCGGGACGCCGTCGCCGCCGTCGCCTCGCAGGTCCGGGCTGGCTCTGCGCGGCAGGTCGCCCTCGTCATCCACGCACCCGCCAGCTTCGACGTCGTCGAGCGCTGGATATTCGACCTGCAGTCGTTTCCCGCCGCCTGGGGCGACAGGGACACGACCCCCGCGCCGCCCGCCGATATCAACCATGCCGGCCGGGATCCCGCCGCGGCTGACGAGCCCGTCAACTGGACCGATGTGAACGAGGCACTACGGGGGGCCTTGAGCAGGATTTCTCAGGTCGCTCAGAGCAGACCACATCTCCCCGAGGCCTGTACATTTACAATGGGCGTCGAACTGCGCGACCAGGCTCTGCCACCAATTCAGGTAATTCCCCCCCCCCCTTCCACCCCTTTTTTTTCGTAT